CGTGTCCGGCAACGGATCGCAACCCTCAGTGTTGCCCCCGTACCGGACTGGGGACCGGCAACGGGATTGCAACCCTCGGTGTTGCTCCCGCGCCTCGCTCAGCCAGTGAGCGGGAACCGGTCTGTATGTGGGATCCGAACCCTCGGGCGGGAGCGCTGCCGCGCTTCTCAAGCGGCGCACTTATCCAGTGCGCCACCGGGCCGGCCCCTAAATGGATGTCTTCTTTAAAGAAAACCTAAGTCATAAAATAAATTCATTGTATCTCACTTTTAATATTACTTAAAAGAAAAAGACTCCAGCAAGAACCAGCAGGAGCTGAATTACAAAAAAAAAAAAAAAAGAAAGAAAGAAAAGAGTAGTGATGCCTCTAACAAAACTAACGTATGCAGGAGACTAGAACGTGGTGAACTTGCAGAGAGATATGAATTTCATGGTCCTCACAGGCATGCAAGTGTAGTCAGCACCAGGACACCAAAGAACTTGTGAGATCATCCCTGCCAGTATTACTTTCTGGTTATGTCTGACTTGGGTCTCTATTCTGCCCTTTCGCCTTTAATGAGACCCACGGTATTACTGACTCTTGAATCAAAGGGTTTGGGTTTCTTTGTTTCAAGGCCTAGTGACAGGATCTCAGTCAGATAAGCTAAACAGACGATTTAATGTTATTCTCCCTTCATCAGTCTAAGACTTGGGCTTAGACTTAGGTATGTCTCTTCATCTGCAGAAGCGTTCAGAGAGCACAAGTTTTATAAAACCACAAAGCTAGGGCTTTCAGGGCTTTCCATTGTTTCAAATTGCTAAAATTAAACTTTCCTTCTGGAAGCTTTAAAATAGCAAATGCTTTACACCTCTTGAAATTGGCAACGTTTTCTTTAAATATACATATACATATATATACATATATATCCCTGATGTCTTGTAATGAAAAAAAAAATCAAGTTCTGCTGTTTTGTTTTTCTTCATCTGGTATATGTATTTTCTGATTGTGTTGCTTTTCTGTCTAAAAGTCTAGTCATGCTTCAGAAAAAGTGGCTACATATTTTTCCATTAAAAATGTACTTAATTTTATAAGTTGCTAGATGTTAAAAAAAATGATGATAAATCATTTTGGTTTTTATCATCTACAGAATAAAACATATTTTATTTTATGACATCGTGTACAAGTTTCCAAAAAGGATTTGTAGTGTCTCATAATTAAAATACTTTCAATGAGATCGTTTAAACAGAAATTGAAAACATACCAGAGAACTGTTAAGAAAAATAAATATATCAGCAGCATAGACTATTCCACTTTCTGCATTTAGCCCCAAGTTTCTTTGCAATCAACATAAAGAGAGAAATTAATTCAACAAAAATATTACAGAGTTGCTGCTATATGCAAGCCACTGTCCTAGGCTTTACGAAGGTGAACAAATTAACCTAGGTCTCTGCTAAATGAAACTTAAGTCTTTTTTGTCTTATAAAAAGAAATAAATAGTTCAGAGACCAAACAGAAAGTTTCTCTATGCTAAATTAAAAAAGAAAACATTTAGTATATATTTTTTACAAGGCATCACTGGAAGACATAGAATGGATAAAATCTTCAATGGTGATTTTTACAAT